GTGTTCAATCACTTTCCCTTACACAATGATAATGAAAGCACTTTTAAATTTATGAATATTTCATAGGAAAATTGAAGTATGACTTAAAATAACAAAACCTTATCTAATGGCAAAAAGTATATTCTCAAAACATTCAAAAGCCTTCATATGTTGGGCAATACTATACATATTGCAATATTTTCTTAAATTTACATAAGCTTTTTTTTTTTTCTTGTCACTTTTATAAACAAATTATCTTGTGCCTGCTTTAGTTACTTAGTCCGCTCATTACACTCTTCAGCACTGATCTGTATTCAGTGTCTCACTGGTGGCAATTTACAAAGAAACACCTTCACCCACTCCATCTAACTCTTGCTGTCAACAAATGCCGGCGATTTTCATTTCATTTCATTTCTGTGTTTCATCATGTCTCAACAGGCTTTGAAAATCATCCCTTCAAAATTTTAAAGTAAGTTTTAATTTTTTGAATTCCTGTTTCACTAAGTATTTTTATTTTATATATTTATTTTATTTTATTTTAGTAGAAAAAATATTTTTACTTTAACTTATCTTTCTAATTAAATTTCTGTTTGGAATTCTTATTTTTTAATTTGCATGTCATTTTGCAATTTCCTTTCAAATTAGTTTTATATTTAACTCCTATTTCATAAAAAATTTTTTAGTTTTTACTTTCTTTTTTTATTAATTCTTTTTGTTAGAGTTGTTTTGAAACCTTGAATTTAATTTTTAATCTGATGTTTAATTTAATTATTTTTAGACTTTATTTCATTCGATCACAATTTTAGTAATATTTTTTCAAGATTTTTAAAACTGAGAATTAACTTTTGTTTATAAATCTGTCAATATGTAAAAATGGCTGATTTTATAAGTGACAAAAAAAATCAATTCAAATCACTGTAAGTTCTATTGGAAATATACTAAAATATTATGTTTACTGGAAATAGTAAATTTAATCCTTTAGCTTTCAATTAAAGATAAAATGAAAGCTTCAAAAAAGCTTTTCTATTTATAAAAATTAATTTTAAAACTTCGATATCACAAAAAAATTGAAGGTTCTTACATTTGTGCTTAGAAATGGCATTCATCATGAACTGGTAACAAAAACTGGAAGCTGCTCACATGAAATGAGGCTCTAAAGACAGAGGATAAGGTAATGATAACATAGATAGGATTGTAACAGCTGAATTTCCTGATGCCAATGATGAATGCAAAAAAATGCATGATACATGGTCATTAGAACAGAAAATTGTTCATCAGTGAAAAGAAATTAAATATATCTTCAAAAGAAATGTACAAAGAACTATGAGAGATGTTCTGCTTTGAATTAAGAGACAATCCAGTGGCAGAAGATCATGAGCAGAATCAAGTTCATGATGAAATTACTAATTATCTTGCTTGTTGATATGTTTCTCCTCTGGAAGCTATGTGGAGACTGTCAGAGTTCAAGCTACATGACACATCTCACAATGTCTACAGACTTCCTGTACATCTTGAAGACCAGCAAAGAGTTTACTTTCACAGAGGCAATACTCAGCAAGCTTCTCCAACACAGAGGGAGCATGACACTACCCTCACTGCATGGTTTAAACTGAATGAGCATGATGATGATGATGCAAGGAACCACTTGTACCCTAGCATTCTGCTGCATTAAGTGTTTAATAAACGCTCTAGAAGATGGACACCAAGGCAAAAGAATATGAATATCATCAGTAGAATGTATACAGTGAGCCCTAGGGACACAGAAAAATTTCATTTGTGAATATTGCTGCTGCATATTTCAGATGTCGTGAGCTTCTAGGATTTGCACACTGTAGGAGAAATCTTGCCAACATTTAAGGCAGTATGCCTGAGATATGGTCTTCTCTCAAAAATGACACACTGGAACATGCATTGCTAGAAGCTGCTGCCTGTTGCATGCCCTTACAGTAGAACATGTTATGTTTGCTGCCCTGTCAAATGAACCCTGCAAATGCTCTTCACCTGTTTGCTGCAAGGAATCCATGATTGAAGATTTCTTGCACCAAGGTTTTAATGCAGACCATGCAGAAAACATGGCACTGCACTCAATTGATGCAATTCTGATAGAGAATGGCATTAATTGTTTAGCAATTGGGCTGCCTGAACCTATTGGAGTACCGCAGCTTGACCATCATGAAGACCTCGATCACCCAGGCATTGCAACACTTACTGATGAACAGAGACTGATTGCTAATGCTGTGCTTGAATCTGTAGATAAGAAGAGGAGAGGTGAGGTGCCCAAAAACTCCTGTTTCTATGTAGATGCACTAGGAGGTTGTGGTAAAACTTATATGTTTAATACCATAATTTCATATCTGCAAAGGAACAACTGCAACGTGTGCAGTGGTGCTTGGACAGGCATTGCCTCTACACTACTGTCAGGTGGAAAAACTATTCATACTTTGTTCAAATTGCCTGTCCCACTCATGGAGGCCAGCATTTGTAATGTACCAGCCACTTCAGACCATGTAAATTATTTACAAAACCATGATTTGATCATCTTGGATGAGGCTTCTATGATTCCTTCATTTGCTTTTCATGCTATTGATAAAGCATTGTGAGATATCATTAGCATTGCTACTATTTTAGGTGGTAAAGTTGTGTTCTTGGGAGGAGACTTTAAGCACATCCTACCTATATTGCAAAGAGGAAGTAGTGAGGCAATCATTGAAATCTGTATTAAAAATTCTCCTCTATGGCTGATTTTCATCCAATACAGATTAAGCCAAATCATCAGGACAACAGCAGATCAAAGGGAATTTGCAACATGGCTCTTGCATCTTGGCAATGGAACATGAGCAGCTTCACAAGACCCTAATCTTGTTGTTGATGACATAGAAGTGCTTCAAATTTCATGCGTTGATGACGCTCTGGTGGATGATATCTTGAACTATACATCTGAAGAAGAGAGGAGGAGCAGAGTAATTATTTTGCCAAAGAACTGCCTCCTGATCAATGAAGAAGTTTTGAGACAACTTCCAGTTGACTGCTGCACCTATTATAGTACAGATAATGTTTTGACAGATGATCTTGCTGAGGCTGAGTGCTACCTACTAAACTCTTTGACACCATTAGGAATGCCTCCTCATAAAGTGAGTTTAAAATCTGGCTCAATAGTAATGCTTCTTCGTAACATTTCTATCCAAAATGGACTCTGCAATGGTACAAGACTGGAAGTGGTGGCCATGCATCAACATTCATTTTAGGCTTCCTTGATTAGTGGCTTAATATTTGGCAAACTTCCCCAGAATAAAGCAGGCTCCAAGCAACTAACTTGCCATTCACCTTGTAGAGAACCTAGTTTCCTAAATGTTTGTCATATGCCATGACTACTAACAAATCACAGGAGCAGACATTTGAGAAGGTGGGAATGTTCTTACCTCAGCCAGTGTTCAGCCACAGGAAATAATATGTGGCATACTCAAGAGCTCACAAACTCTCAGATGTAAGGGTTAAGATGATGGAGACAGACAAGGAAGGAGAAGGGGTAAACTGTTATTGTCTGCCAAGAGGTATTGACTTCAAGGAATGAAGTGTTTTCAGAAATTCTGGAGACACTTGATTACATTAGGTATGTGTGCTTGGTTTTTTATATATATTTATATCCAAATGAGAGAAAGAACAGATGGGCTAAAAATCCACAGATCATAGCATTTATTTTTAAAAAAGAACTCAATACAAAGTAGAACAAAATATTATAATATTTTTATTACAATAATTTATAATAAAAACATTTTACATTGCTACACAAAAATTTCATGTTTCAGTACTAAGATGGTACCTCTTTAGGTGATTGTAGATAATGATAATGATAAAAATGATTTATTATGGAAATTTAACAAAACAAATCTTTAACTCTTTTTGTAAATTAAAGGGTGGGGCATAAGGTCAAGGTTAAAAATATGCTTATGGGTATGTCTAGATTAACCAATGACCATCACGTCTATGCTAACATAAAAATAAGGTCAGAGGATGGAGGTGGATTACAAGTCAAGAAGACAATCAATGATACTAGGGAAAAATTACCACGACAAATGTAATATTGGCATATCCAAGTATGATTTGGCAATTTGTTGAAGTATATATAAATTTATCAGAAACAGATTTAAAAAAAAAAAAGTTAAAACAATTTTTTTTTTTAAAAGTTATCTGTACAGCTATAGTTTAATTAGTTTAAATACACTTAGTATTTTTATTAAAAATCTAATAAGAGGATTATTATTAGGGAAGTGTTTATCAATTAAATTGAGAAACTTATGTCCTAACTTAGTACTAACCATTTGGTTAAATGAAGGAGTGTATCAAATGATTTTTTCTGTTTTTCTCACTTACAATGTTATGATTCCTATATTTACTGTCAGTGCACTTATTTTTTTAAAGCAGTGTCGTAAAAGTTGCTATGTTTATAAAATACATCTTCACTGGAAGAGTTATTACTGATTCTATATTCTATGGAGGAGGGTATGTGTTTGATTGAGGATGGAGGATGATTTGAATTTGGGTAGTATATAATGGATTTGCATTATTTTTTTTTTAAGTTTTTGTGTAAATATGTAAAATGTTTTTATTGTAATTTTTATTATTTATATATATATATATATATATATATATATATATATATATATATATATATATATATATATATATGTCATTGGTGATCTTTGCACACATGGTGGACACTCCCAAGTATCTCTAAGTGTTGTTTATTTTCTCAGCCTATGACTATTGTATATTAAAAAGGATAGATTTAATAGTTAAACTTTATGTATTTATAAATATACCTGTACAAATATATGTAATTTTACTATTTACTGCCTAAGTATTCATTCTGTTATATATGTAGATATTTTAATTGCTCCTCCTTCAATGCATTATTTTTAAATATCCATATATATAGAAAAAGTTTGTTGTTTACTCAACATTCTATTAGTCAGTCCATGGAAATTCTATGGGTCCTGCTAGTTTAAAGCAATGTACCTTACCTGATACTGTGGTGTGTGTTTTTGCTCCACCTAATTCTTCTTGTGTAACATCTTCATTGGTAACAGACTAAAATTATAAAAAGATTAAAACAAATTATTAGGCTGTCTTTGAAAGTGGTAAATTCAGTGTCTAAACAATAAGATTTAGAAAATAAAATTTTTTAATTTAATTAAGAGCATACTTTAAAAATTTGCTTAATATTTTTGCATAGAGAGTTGTCAGTATTGAAGGAATTGTGAAAGATCAAGAAGGTGAAAGTTTGGCCTTGTAGAAATATTCAACCTATCCAAAAAGAATGTTTTATATTCCAGAAATGGTTGAGATGTTCTACAAAAAGTGTACAATTACAGAATATTTTATAAAAATAATTATCTTTTGCATTATTTATGACCAATGTTATACTTTTTATTACTTTTTTCAGTAGAAATTAAATGTAGATAATACCTTTGTTTTTTTTAAAATTTTAATGCAATTAAAAAAAAAATTCAGCCAAATGCCAGAGTTCAATGATTATTTATTTACATTCATTCTGAATCATCAGACTATAATTCTCCAAAAGATTTTTTTGTCTCAAGAATAGGTGTGGCCATACATTTTCTGGTTACTGCATGTTTTCAGCATTTCAGCTTTTGAAATTTCAAAACTTAAAATTTTTAGTGTGGAGTTTGATTTACAATGTAAGTATAATTCTAAACTAGACACCTACTTTGTGTCCATTAATTTAACTGAACAATAGACACACACAAAAACCCCACCAATTATTTTGCCATGCTCTCCATAAAATATCTCAAGAATTTTGATTTTCCTCAATACATTTTAGTAACAAATTGCCTAATATGTCAAATGAAGCCTGGACACTCAAAGAAAACAAATGTAATTTTTAAAGCTCTAAGAATATAATGATTTTAACAAAGGAATTCAAAATGTGATGAATTATTATACTGCCACAAGACAATCAGGGATGATATGATTATCTTCCTGTTAAACAGAAAACAAAGAAAGAAAAAAGCAGACTGCATTAACTACTATGAAATTTCTTTGCTTTCATTGCTGGTAAAATCCTTGCATACAGGCTTCCGAACATTTATTGGCATCAAGTTGGCTAATGGGGATACAATACAGCCAACATGATCATCAATGAGATAGATTCAAGAGAAATGCAGAGCAGAATATGGACTTCTCTGAAGTTTTCATTGACCTAACAAAAGTCTGTGACACAGTCACTAGGAAGATACTCTTGGCTATCCACACAAAACTTAGCTTCTCTAGAAAAAACTAATTCACCAATTTCATGATAGTATAAAAGACCTAATTATCTCAAGTGAAAACTTATCAATGTCTCCAACAGTCAAATAAAGCTGTATATTATCTGTGGTCTTTTCAAAATACCCTTCATGCATGTCTGAAGTACAGTATGGATGGCGCCTTCTTTGAGATTTAATCCAGTCAGCATACTTGAGAGATCAATTTTAAAGCTTTATTTGCAGACAGCAGCACCCTCATTAGTCAAAGTTGCAAATCATCATCAACAAACTAGCATTCAATCTTTTTGGCTGTTCATCAGCTGGCTACAAAATCTAAAGGTCCCTCCTTCCAATATTTAAATTGATGACACTTAATTGATGGTCACTATCAGTTCATGTAACTGAGGCACAATATCTATTTGAAGGGGCTGGTTGACAAAAAGATATTAGCCTGCATCTGTAGGGCCAGTTTGTTTTGGGGTTGCTTTTTGTGCAACAATGAACATCAAGCTAACAATCAATCAAGGAATACAAAACAATTGTGCTCACTAGCCTATTGTGTGCAAAATTTGGGCACTATAACGGCAACATATTTAGCAGCTTGAATGTTTCCACATTAGGATCCTATGTTCAATCATAGGAATCAGATGGCAGGAATTGGGACATTAACTAAGAAGTCCTGGTTAGAGCCTATCTTAGTGGGGGTGAAAGTTATAATCTTAGAAGCTCAACTGCTAAGCAGCACATGTATGCTCCACCAAGTCTTGACACATGCCTACAAAAATATTTTAAGAACTGTATCAAGGAAAGACTAAAGCAGACATGGGCAACCCTTTTCAATCAGTGGGCCACATTAGAGATGGCTCATTATAAGGTGGACTCACTAATAAAAAAATTCAAAGTAATTTTTTGCTGAAAATAAAGCAGCCATTTTCACTGTGGGAGGATCATATGCATAAGCATCTGCCTTAGAAATGGGGAAAAAGTTGATATTTTTTTATTTATTTTCTACAATTTAAAAACTGAAGATTTTGTGTAATATTATCACTAATGACATTGTGATTAATGTGTTGCTGCATCGGATTTGTTCTAACTTATTCTTTTGAAAATACAAAATATATATTTCTAGAGAAAAATTTAATATGAACATTTCCTGTTTCTAAAGCAAAATATCTTTACACATATTATCTTTCTTAATGAAAATTGCCAATGGTTTAAAATGCTGTAAATGTTACCTTCAACGAAAGGTTACAAAATTCAATAAACATTGTATTTAATCATTGTTATGTATGTGGTTTAGTTGAACTGTACCTACAATGCAACAGGCATTAATTAGTAAGGGAAGTTACTCAAGCAGTTAATAGTTATTTCCCTTTGACAACAGCTTTTCCCAACTTTTTGTGTGAGAATGTACATGAGTGAACAAGTGAGAATGAAAGAAAACACAAAATTTTAGTAACCGTTATTTTCCTTATTAAATTATATATGTCATTCAGAAGGCCAAATGGGTTCCATGTGGCCAGTGGGCCGCAGTTCGCCCATAACTGGCCTAAAGCATTGTAATATCTCTGTAAATGATTTGAAGTTTCATCCTGAGGACAGAACTGAACTGCATATCTTTTGAAAAATGCCAAACAAAGAGAATCACCATAGTAGAAAATAGCAAAAGAGCTCTCATTTTTTTTTTAATCATTTAACCACAAGCAAGACAATAATGCCACTAAAATGCAGGGGGAAGGGTGGTTACAGGGAGTGAAAGAGAATGATAAGATTTTAGTGAGGAAAAGGTAATAAAGGAACAAGGTTCAGTTAGAAGATGGTGATTAGTGTTGCATTTAAATTTTTGAAGATTGTAGGTGGCATGGAAGCAAAAAAAAATTTCATTTCATCTTGTACTGTCAATTATTTTAACAATAGTATTGTTTTTAGCCCATGATTCATAACAAAAACAACTGGCCTCTTTCACTTTATTGTTCCTTTCGCTTCTGTTATCTTTTAATGTAGCCAAGGGTCATAACAAATATGTATCCATTATTTGACATTAAACGTAGGCAACGCAACTTGGTAAAATAAGTCTCATGAAAGATAACAGGCAGATAGTCTAATATTTTTAGTGCACTGACATTCTATGGAAAATGACATATAACAAATTTCATTTGAAGGTCGTCTCTCATGTTAAAAATAGAGTCATTGGTAATCAGGCTCGCGGGCTGGTCAAAATGCCTTCGTGGGCCAGATCCAGCCCGCAGGTTGCCGACACTTGATCTACAGTATCATAGCAACCGCACATGTTGGGTTCAGAGCCATAGAAGCTGGTCCTGTGTACTTTCTTTTGATGTATTGAATACTATAGTTATGAGCAAGATTTGAGTGACTTTTATAATAAATTATAGGCAGAAGATTAGGACAAACAATTTCTAGATCAGTATGGCTTGTCAGGTATTTGCCTTCATTGTAATGAGTACCTATCAGAACTGGTCAAATAATAGAAAAATGACCAACTGTCAAAGCATTGAATAGTTATGATATTGATATAAGAAGGCTTCTTTACCAAGTATGAGTTGTGGTATCCTACACTGACATTGTACAAGTAATAGACTTGCCCACACAGACTATATAATGTGACTTACTTTCTTATTTTGTAGCTGAGTTTACCTAAATAAAGCTTACTACTTTTACTTCTGTTCTGAGTTTTGTCTTACTTATCAAATGAGGCAATGGAAAAGTTACTGTGGCACAAACTGCAAATAACTAATTAAGGTGAAGAAAAAATACATCTCAATATACACTGATCCTTTTTGTATATGAGGCTGCATAGCTAAACACAAGTCAGACTACCAATGTTTATTGCCAAAGGCATCTTCACTGGACACATGGAACTAAACCTTGTACCAATGGAAGAATACTGCCAAATCTGATAAATTTTGCTTTTTCTGCAATATGCTGGACAGTAAAGGACATGTATAGGATTATCTTGTAGAAGTGATGATACTAATATGTACCATAGGAAAATAACAACCTGGTGGAGGCAGTCTGATGCAATGGGTAATGGTCCTGTTGGGAAATACTGAATTCTATCATTCATACTTTGTCATGTACTACCTATTTCAACATCAATAAAAATCGGGTATACCACTTCATGGCAACAGTCTTCTATGATGACTGGCAACATTTAGCAAGATAATACACAATGAGGAACTGAACAAATTATACAGTAATGATTTCAGAAACATAAAGAGTACTTTACTGTGTTGCCCTGGTCACCAGTTAGTTCAGATCTCAATCCTATTGAGTACATATGTGCTATAGTGGAACACACCTATTCTATAGTTAATAGACTCTCCCACCTATAATAAGTAGGAGTAGTAAGAGTAACGAGTCGGTCAGTCAGTTGATGTCGGATGACAGTCGAATACTAAAGTATCAGCGACCACAACTAAATTACTCTGCATTATACCTATTATATCAAGTTCCTAACGTTGTGTACGTCGAAGCTATTTTAGGACCAACTTAGTACAAATACAAGCCTCAACTGTATTAGTTGGCGATGAGGGATTTGGATTCATACAATGGAAGAGAAAAAAAAAATTTGTTTGCCACAGTATTATTTGGCGACGAGGGATTTGGATTCATACGGTGGAAGAAAAAAAAATTTGCACGCCACAACATAATTTGGTGACGAAATCATGTACTCATATGGAGAAAAAAAAAAATTTTGCTCGTCACAATAATTTTAAAACAAAAAAATTTGATTCACACTTAAAAAAAATTTCTTGGCAAAGATTCTCAACTGAGAAAGGAATTTTTTTTTTTCATGATAATACAGTTTGCTCAAATAGGTCACGAATTGCAAATTCGTAGGACCCCATCCCTCTACAGTACTTAGGCATTGTGTAAATTTTTGCGAAGATGGAGGAGTGCAAAAATATATTCTGGGAATTTTTTAAGTTCCAGACAGAACAACAGATGACAATATTATAGAAAACAAAGAACATTCCAGATGCAGCTACAGGAGGAAACTTTCAATAGACAAATCCAATTTCAACAAAAAATGGAACAGATGCATCGGGAGTTTCAAAACAAAATTCTGGAAATAACTGAGAAGAGGAAAGAGAAAAATCTACAAAATAATTCTTTCTCAGAGAATACTGTGTTGGAATGTGTCACAAAAAATAAATGATTTTGTCTCTTTCTCTCCTGCTATCGTAGTGACGGACACAGTCTTCACTTCTGAGACTGAAAACTGCCCTCCTTCTCATTCCAGCCCTTTACATAGAGTTTGGTAACTCACCTATGCAAAACAACAACAAGCCAGCTACCAATCACAGTTCCCGCGCTTGCCCACCTCCACTCGCTTTGGGGGTTGACCGACCAACTCATTACACGCCCCCCACCCCTGATCTTAAGATTACAAAGCTTCTCAGTTTAAAAGATGGTCGTGTCTGCCTATATACAACTTGCACGCTTGACATATTGGGATAACCACACAGCGCATTAACTCATTTAAAATCCGAGGTGGCTGATTTCCAGATTCATCCTGTCTCGCTGTCATGCTTTTACACCATGCAACTTGGGGCAGGCCTCTTCTGCCAGGCACTCCTGAAGCGGGATGACAGGGTCCTCATCCTCGGATGAACTCTCATCTGTTGAGCTACCATCCGCCTCTGGACAGCTGGCCACGTTGACATCCGCAGGTAGAGTACTGATGTTTGAGGTAGAACTCAGTGGATCCGACCTTAAATACACCACCGCACCATCTTCAGAGTCAGTTTCATCATCTGATGACGGTTTTAACCCTACAACTTTACGAAGTCTTTAACATGATTCTGCAAACGCCATCTTTTTTTTTT